CTACCTCGGAGATGAACACAAAATGCACTAGGTCTGAAAGGTCTGATACACCAAGTTCAGCCAAAAGTGAAATTTGACAGCTCCCTAAGTGCTCTTATTCTGGAGAAATGGAGCCCACTCTCAATGACCGCCACATAAGCACCACCATTAATATCGTACATGCCAATAAAACCCCTGGGAACGTCATGGAAAAGTTAACAGTGTGTTTTCTAAACCCCATGATTTTGATGACTGCTCCATAACTACCAGAGCCAGGGCCCTGCTGGATCCATCGGCTGAATTCGGCATAAGTGGGACCCTTTGCTCGCCGAGTGATACAACGAGGGAGCTGAGACGCAGAGGTTCTAGGAGCAAATGGACTTACGGCCTCATTTTCCACAACTACTAAAGAAAGAGATGGAGTCCTACAACCACTCGGGTCTTTCGCTGAATATTTCTCTGACCCTGGGGCTGTTTAGAATTCTTGAAGCAAGGAATTAGCCACTTTTGAAGATTTGCTACTTCGACCTAGAAATGGTCTACGTTTTGTCCTTTGCTTTTCCACTAGAGCAGGCATCTAAATAAAAATGAAAGGAATCACTGCTGTTTTTCCTAGCATAGTTTGTGTGTAATGAGCAACGTGATTATTTCTGGAAAAGAGCTGCTCCCTGGGAAATGTGTAAAATTAGCTCATGTTCTCCCTCTAGTGGAGATGTCATGTGTTTGCTCTGCATGGAATTACATTTAAGTATTCATCCAACCCCCCCACCCCAAAAAGGAAAAAAGAGCTTGCATAACTAAATCATAGTCAGAGATTGAGGCAAATGCAATTTATTACAGGCTTTCCACAGAAATGTCTTAAATATTTCACTCACTTAAAGAAATTCAAGATTAACAATGAGAAGATACAAAGTAGATTTAGACCAAATGCATGATCTCTACAGGGAATACATGGGCCAAGTGAGACATTTTTTATTTAATGTATGCCCACAAGCATCTAAAAACCAGCTCAATTGTGCAAATTACAGGGCCAAAGCGGGAGAATACACAGTAAGTACTACAACGTGAATTCACTTGCTCTGGTAAGGAGGAAAATACTCAAAAACAGATCGTTGGCAAGAGATGCCCATTTCCGTTCTGTTTTCCACATGACATTCTGCTGCTTCCAGCTCCCTGGGAACTTTGTTGACTTTGTGATTGAGACAAAGTCAGTGACACCTTGTCATGCATCTATGACGGCCACAAGAGGAGGAGGAGGAGGAGGAAGGAGGAGGAGGAGGAGGACCTGTGCGTGTTTCTGCCACCCCACTGAGGGAATTTCTCACCTTTCTCCTCCTTACAGCTCGAGAGGACAAGCCCTGGAAAGGGCTCTGTGGAGTTCTTAGTTTTCTCATTAAGGCTGAGCAGCTGGTGAGGATTGCTAGAATGTGAGAGAAGTGTCTTTTCTGAAGAAGCAAACACCAGAGATGAACACATCCCCCTTCAAAGACACTGACATTTTGCAGGAAGAACTGTAAGCCAATAATAGTTAACCATTATGAGGATAACTAACGTGATTCCACCCAATAAAAAGAAGACATTAACAAAAACATCTAGGTTATGAGAGAGAAGGTGGAAAAGAAAAGAGGAAGACAGGGAGGAGGGAACAGGGAAGGAAGGAGTGAAGAGAGGAAAAGAAGCGGGGAGAAGAGAACAAGAGCCTTTGAAATGTAGAAAATTGATAACAAAAATGCAATCTTAAACAATTTTACAAAGTTGAAGCAACCTTACAAAACTGTAGCAAAGACATAAAGAAAAAAAATGAGAGGAAAATAAGCAAGTTAGAAAACCAGTCCAGCATGACTAACATCATAATTGTAGAATATACAGAAATTGAGAGAATGGGAAAAAAGTGAAGAGAAGAATTTATCAAGGAAGGAGTACAAGAAAGCCCCCAAGAACTCAAATATATGAGTTTTCCAACTGAAAAGACCCACCAAGTGTCCAGGAAGAAAACGCGTGAAAGCTGGGATTTAGCTCAGTGGTTCTGCTCCCGGCCTCATAAGTGCAAGGTCCAGAGTTTGATCTCCAGTACCAAAAAGAAAAAGAAAAAAGAAAATGTGTGAAAAGACACCCACACCAAAGGACATCATGGTGAAATTCAGCTCCTTCTAAAATTCACAACAAGAGAGCAAATAGAAGATTGTACATAAACTAAGACAGCTACAATGTCACCGGGCCACATCCTGGGTGATCACTACCATATAACTGGCCCAACACTGACTGGAACATTGCCGGCTGCTGTGTGGCCGCAGTTTCTTAATGGTCCCATGACAAAATGTCCCAAACTGGGTGACTTTTGAAAAACATTATTATTATCTTGCAGCTAAAATGTCAAAATCAAGGTGTCAGTAGTGCTAGGTTCCTGCTGAGACTCTGGGTAGAATCCTTTCTGCCCTTTACCACTTCTGGTTGTAGCTATCATTTTTTTGGATTTCAGTCACATTATTCTGACAGGTTTTCTATCATTACATAGAATTATTGCTACGTGCCTCTGACTCAGTCTCACTTTTTATAAGGATTATAATAAGGATTACTTTTAATTATCAGCATGATTTGCTTAAGAAATGAAATAAAGCACACTTCTGGCTGTGTCTGGGTGGGTGGGGACTATCTGTGGTCCCTGGCTCCTTCCTCACTCTCTGACTCTTCTCTCTGCTACTTGCTGCCGTGCAGTGAGCAACTTTCTTGCTCCAGACCCTTCCACCATGTCGGTTCTGTGTTGGAACCAGCTGAGTATGGACTGAACCCTCTGAAACCATGAGCCAAGATAAACCTCTCTTCAAGTTATAAACTTTCATATGAGTAGTTTGTCCCAAAAGAACAAAGCTGGCCAAATAAGGACACCAGTCATCCTGAGTTAGGGCCCAGTATATCCAGTGTGATCTCAGCTTAGCTTACTGATATCCTCCAATCTGTGCTTCCAAATGAGGTCATACACTGTGGTTCCAAGAAGGACATGACCTTTTTCAGGGTGCTATGCATACAGCTGTGATGTGCCTAATCATGATTTTCTTTGCATTTATCATGGGGTAGAGGCAGTTCACTGAATCTGTAAATTTCGGTTTCATCATACTGTGACACACTTCTCCATACTGTAAAAATAGTTTCTACACACACACACACACACACACACACATATATAAATTCCTCTTAGATTCTTCTCCTTTTCTTCCAGGATTCCTAATATATATCATGGGTTACTTAACCTTTGTATTTTGGAGATTATTTAGACTAAATAATTTTTATTAATTCAAGCATTTGGATTACTTTCCTGGTCTCTTCTGTTCTACTGGTAAATCCACCTAGTGATGATCTTTAATTTTAGACATAGCAAATTTTTGCTTTGTAATTTATATTTGATACTTCTTTAGCTTCTATTTCCTTGTGAGTTTTACCTTTTCATTTTTTTTTAATTTATGATGAGCATATGTTCCTTTATATTTTTGAGTGATGTTAGAAAAGTTGCTTTAAAAATTCTAGCCTGCGAACTCTAACACCCTGGGTCATCGTGGGATTGGTCTCCACTGGGTGACTGGCTTTTCTCTTGATAGTCTTCACCTTTCTTTTGCTCATTGTTAGTTGTGCCCCTTCAGATTGCACTGTGGATATCGGCAGGAAAATGCTGCAGGGACTCTGGGTTCTGTGAGGATTCCCTAAACAGTTGACTCTTCTGCTTCTAGCGAGTTCGTTAGACTCCAACTGAGGTCACCCCGCTGTCTGCTGTTGCGCTGTCTTTGACTGGAGCCTCACCAGATGTGCGTGGGGCGCAGGTGAGTCAGACATGAGGAGATCCAACATCCGGGGCATCTCCCACTGACTATCTTTGCAAGAACAGTCTTTGCTTTCTAGGAACCTCCTTTCGGAACACAAAGACTGTGGATTTTCTATTGAGTTTGAGGACATCTTTATTTTCCTCCGGAACTTACAAGTGTAATCTGCAGCAGTCCCGATATGACAGGAGCTTGCTGGGCCACACCAGGCGCACAGCCAATGTGGATTATCAGAGCAGGAAATGTATCAGCTGAGGGCTGTCCTCTCCCAACTGCAAACTGTAAACTTGCAAGCACCAAAAAGCAGAGGACAAAGAATTCGACTTAGAAAATAAAATGCCACGAAGCAAAGCTAAACTTTTCCTATCAGAGTAAGCATGTTTGTATTCCCCTTTCCTGCTTCTGTGTAACTGATTGATTCCAACTTTCCCAAGCAGTGATAAAAATGAGCGTGCATTTACCATTAGCAAGCCTGAGGCGTTTCATGTGGAATGCCACAGAGATGGAAGGGGGGAGGCTTACGAGTCTCATCCTCTGGTACCCACGGAACCCGCCAGCAGCTCTGAGTACAGGTAGCAGGCCAAGGTGAAGGGGAAAAGGCCAACGCCTCCTGCCACTTCTCACGTTCCTCCTGCTGCTGGGACGACCTCAGCTGGCTGGAGACGTCTGACTGTGAGACAACTACCAAGGACCTGGTGGCAGCCAAGCACCAAGCCAAATGCTGCTGCTGCAGAAGCCAGGGACAACGATGCTTGGGATGGCAGTGGACTCTCAGACACGGAGCAAGGTCAGCCCTGAAGAGCAGACCACATGAATGCATTCCTGGCATCAGCACGGGCAAGGAGGAGCTGCCCTACCTACCACTGCGGACGTCTTCCTAGCAAGGGATGGCTTCTTTTTTCTTTTTTGTTACAGGGATCGAACTCAGGTCCTTGTGCTTGCAAGGCAGGTGGCAGAACCACTGAGCTAAATCCCTGGCCTGGGATGGCTTCTTTTTCAAAATCTCTTTACTACTCAGAATGCAGAAGCGATATTTTGAACAAAACAATCAGGCTCCCTCCCCTGGGAAAGCCCCACCACCACAAATCCCACACAGCCACCATCTCACACCTTACAAATTCCCTCACCAAACTCTTCTCCTAGGTAAGAACTGTGCTGTATTGAAACAGGAACTTGGGGGGCGCTTTTTGGGCAAATAATACACATCTGTCACAGTGACGGCACGATGGTTTTAGAAAACCATCGTGGATTTATTCATTGCAAAAGACAGAGAAAGCTTTAGATGTTTGTTCCAGGTTGCTGGCCTCAGCTCTTCAAAAGGTCTGAAGGAAACCAATAATATAATCAGATACCGCGCTGCAAAGAACCTTAATGCTATCCAACAGCTTAAAAAATATTTTCAACTCAAACCAATTACGTATTTATAGACATAGATACATTCTGTACAAATTAACTCTAGGGCCTTTGAAAATTGGGTAATACTAAACTTTATTATCATTTAAGATCCATGGAGTAAAACCTGATAAGGCCTTAAGTTTCATTATTTTGAGGTAAAGTCTTCTTAAGAAATAGTAAACAGGATCAAAATACAGAAATTTACAGATTCATCTCCCTTAGGATGGAAGGAATTTTAGGTAATCATCTAGGTCAACACTCTCCTAAAGACAAGAATTATTCTCCCTTCTTAGGTCAAGCAACATGTACTACTGACATTAAATGAAGCAGTCAAGGCCACACAGCTATTAAATTTCCCCCTCTTCTCGGCTACTTTTTTTCCTTGCCAACCAGACCTCAAAACTGACTGCACGCAATCATTAAGACATTCATGTGCAAGATAATTTACGAAGAAATCCCATTCCAGGAACCACTGCGTTTATTGAGTGAGATAAATTAAATTTGTGTAATGAAAATACACAACAAACACTGCATTTAGCTTCTTGGCTCTGAGTTTAATTAGTGACTCATAGCTCCTACACTGAGGAAATGTATGATGTAAACATCAATATAAATAAATTGCTGGATTGCCTAAGTGAAATGAATCCAGTTCAGCTCAAACCGCTCATTACATTCAAAGCCATATTTCAGAGAAAGGGAAAGGAATATAAATAAGCAAAATATAATGACAGAAGGTTGGTACATTTGCAGTCAGAGCAGCTTGGGTTGAACGCCCTTGAGTGTGAAGTGATAGACTAGGGGACAATGTGAAGGGGCTGGGAGCCTCCAGCATAAAATCGCACTTTCTTCGCAAGTAACCCTCACCTGCCCACGGCACCTGGGATGCCATGGATGGCCAGGCTCTGGGCAAATCCTGGGGTCAGGATTTGGAGCTCAGGAGACACCGCGAGGCTGGGAAGAAGTCAGCTCTGGCCACGTGTGACTCCAGAGTAGGTGGAGGGGAAGCTGCAGACTTCCCGCTGATGTAAGGATCCTTCCGGTGCCTTCTGCACACGGGATATTTTATACCCCAGATGGCCCTCCCGGAAGTTGGTAGTGATGGGGTCAAACCATGCTACAAGAAGATGTTTTATTTCCTGGGCAGAAAGCAATCGCTACCCGCCAGTCAGGACAGGACAAGGCCCAAGTTTGCCAAGCCCTCAGCCAGCAGTGGGGACAGCGGCTGAGGAGATAAAGTGAACACACTGTTGGCTTCAACTGCCTGCCCCCAAATATGCTTCTGCAGTAGAAATCTAGGGGCGTTGCGCAGCCCAGGACAAGGACATGGGTTCTAGGATATGCGTTCCAGGATGTGCGTTCCAGGACATGCGTTCCAGGATGAGGCAGCATCCGGCCGAGCATGTGACATCAGTAACAAGTGGTGTGGATCAAGTGTGCCACTGTCTGCAGGACCTCTTCTCTCGAGGGGCTGGCATCCACCACGCAGCAGGCCGGGTTCTCCATCCTGAGGTACGACGCTTCCACCCTGAGGCAGGCACAAGGAGAAGGGTCGGTCGGCCCGCTTTTCCACACAGCTGTTCCCACAAAGCTGGGTGAACAGCTGGCAGCAAGGCCTCCCCTTATCCCTCCCACTGTAACCTCTGGCAATCAGCTCTGCCCACAAGAGACGCTTCATGTGTTCTGTCTGCTAAATGGTAATAATGCACTGTGTTTAACAGCCGGCAGGGACTGGATACCTATGTTCTGCCAAGCATTAGTATCCCGTCCAATTTTTCTCATTTAACTCTCCAAGTAGCCTTAGAAGGGGCCCACTGCCACTGCTCATTTTGTAGAAATCAAGGGAGGCTCAAAGAGATCAAGAAAGCAGTCCAGTGGAAAACTTCTCCCCTCCACTCTCCAGTGATCTTCGCAGAAGCCTTGGTCGTGTGCACAGACATCCCTCCCTCTTCAGCCTCTTCTAAGACTTCCCAGAAATCCTCCCAGCCCTGCATCGAGCCAGTGTCTGGCTGCACTGCCTGTGAGCACAGACACCCGGGGCCTGTGGAAGGCAGCAGCTCTGTGGCCTCATGGGTGAAACAGGGGCTGGGGACTAAGTCACCCGCTTTACCACCCGTGAGCCAGGTGAGCCTGTCACACTGCTCATCGTCCTGATCCTCGGTTTTATCACCTGCAACATGAGAACTGAAGCGGCCCCTTCCTTGCAGATCTGCAAGAAGGCTTAACTGAATTAGTACAAATAAAATGCTTACCACAGTATCTTTAGGTACAGCAAAGTGTTTTTTGTTTGGGTTTGGTTTTGTGGCACTAAGGACTGAATCCAGGGCCTTTGCATTAAGCCATAGCCTTAGCTGTTTATTTCTGTTTTGACACAGAGTCTCCTTAAAAGTTGCCTGAGCTGGGCTCAAACTGGGGATCCTTCTGCCTCAGCCTCCCAGAGTGCTGGAACTACAAGTGTGACTTGCCAGGCCAAGTTCAAAGGGATCATTTAATTCATTATATGATGACATTACTGTATCACAGCAATGCTATTTTTATTTATTTATGTAAACCACTTTGGTGTTAGTCTCTAAAAACAGTGCTGTAGACCGAGCCTCATGGGGCCACAGCTATCAGACCATCCTGACTCTTCCAAACTGGTGCTCATGAGCTTCTTCCGATCTTTGTCTTTGATTTGTTTTGGTTTTTGCAGTGCTGGGGGTGGGATCCAGCGTTTCACCCATGCTAAGAGAGCTCGTCCAGGGAACCTCACACTCCGCACCAGACAGCATTCATAAATTAAAATAAACACCGGCTCTGAAGTCAGGCAGATGTTGACTTTAATCCTGCTTTTGCCCTGAATAGCTATAGAAACTGAGGCAATTCAATCCTTTAAGCCTTGGTTGTATAAATTGTTAAAAAAAGAAATGACTAGCTAGGTGTGGTGGTGCACGCCTGTAATCCCAGCACTCAGGAGGCTGAGGCAGGAGGATCACTGTGTGTTCGAGACCAGCCTGGGATACATAGTGAGTTCCAGGCCAGTCTCAACTACATAGTGAGACCCTGTCTCAAAAAAACAAAAAAAAAAAAACAAAAAAAAGGCTAATGTTTTCCTTGCAAAGACGTGGTAGGTTTGCATTGCCTCATAAGTAAAGTGCCAAAGATGTGATGAGCACCTAATCTGTAAAGTTCACCCTGGTCCCCTCTGCCCAGTATATCACAACTGCGGAGGCTGAGGCAGGAGTACTTCCTGGCTTGCCCAGGCACACAAATAACAAGGCTGTTTGTGGCCCTGGAGTGACGGCGCACAGGCAGGGGCTGTCATCTTGTACTAGAAGCATGAGACAAGGACGCTTCCTCCCCAGCCCAGGGCCGGTGCTGTCCTGGCTCCCATGGACACCTGACCCCGGGCACCTACTTCTGCCGGAAGATGCTATTGGCCTCCAGCTCAGCCTCCTCCCTGGTCATCTCCAGGCCCCGGCCTTGTAACCGCTGCATCCTCTCCTCTGGACTCACGGTGAGCAGCACCACCAGGTCAGGCCTGAGCAGGTCCTGGGGCCACTGGTACACGGGGTCGTGGGCGGGGGGCAGGTGCTGCAGACCCCCGCTTACCTCGGTGGCAATGGCATAGGTGGCCGTGCTGTGCCAGTACCTGGGGAGCAGAAGAAGCAGTAAAATCTCTTCTCCAGAAGAAGCCCTTACAAAACAAATTAAATGTAAAAATAAACAGTAGTAGTGAGAGGGCTTAGCCCAAAGTTGCATTTACTTTGAGCTTGGATTCCAGCACTGCTCTGACAACGGGCTCCTCCCCTCTGTGGAGATAACAGCAGGTGGGCAGCGGACCACAGTCTGCCTGGCCCTTCCTTTGTGCTGAACACCGCTTCTTAGCCAGGTAAAACCTGGGACTTGCCCATGAAGTCCACGTTTAGGGAACGTGCCTAGAAGACCTCTTTGTGGGACTCCAGCACAGGGAAACAATCCACCACATGCACTTTGGGAAAAGAAAATCACAGCCACAAACAAAAATCACATCAGCCTCTCCTGCAGTGCTTTTCCACTGTGGACGGGAAAGGGCTCAGCCTTCCTGGGAGAAGCGGAAGATCCTTTCCACCCAGACCAGCAAAACGGAAGGACTCAGCCAGCGACTTTCCGCCTCTTCCTTCCCAGCTCACGCCAAGATGCCCCGAGCAGAATCCGGGCTCCCCTCCGCTCCCCTCACCCCTGTGATTTCAGGGGAGCTTCTCACTGTGAGAGCCCCCAGTCTGCGAGCAGGAGCAGATCGCTCATGGGTGTCACACCTTTCGTCTCCTCTATCAGCTCCTGGATGAGGAAATGTTTTCTACTCATCTCCGAAAACTGTATCTGTGACTGAGCAAGGTGCAGTAAGGGTTTTTGGGTGCACGAGTCCATCAGTGAATGAATGTGAACGATTTCATTCATTGGCACCGCTGATGACACCCAATCTCTGTTCACACCATAATCCAGTTTTCATGAACTCAATGCAAAACTTCAGATCTCGTATCGAAGGACTATCACTTACAGCAAATAAATATTCACAGCATAATTATAAACATCCTCGTGCAGAAAGGTATTTTCAAGTAACTGCTTTCAATTCTCCAAGATCCTAAATTCTTAATAACTTTAGACCTGAACTACTTTTCACAGTGAAGAAGACACAGTGGCCGCTACACAAGGAACTCACTATGTTACACACGCCAAAGGTGACTGTGCCTTCCCCAGCCCCTGACTTTGTGAACACAGGTGAAAGTCAGCGAAACCAGTATGGTCTCGGCTTCTGTATCAAGAAAGTGGAAATCATGCAAACTTTGGTTCCTTCTCCAGGCATTGCAAAAATAGACAGATGCTTTTTAGAAAAAAGAAAAGACCACATCGTCACTGTGCGACACTACCCAATGCTTACTGGACACTGGTTTAGCCATCGCTGTGCCGTGGAAAGGCTGACAGCACCATAAAGACAGTACGGGACAGGACAAGTTGGAAACTACATCTGGGAATGGGTCGGGCCCAGCCATCTTCACAGCCTGTGTGCACCTCCCGGAGTCAGCTCTAAAAACTGCAGCCCACTGCAGCTGCCAGCTCCACAGGCTCTCCTGGAAACCCTCCTGCAGGTCGCCTAACTGGCTCGTGCCTTGCAAGCCCCTCCTTTTGTGTCCTCTAATAGATGTATCAGGACAATCGGAAAATACGGTAAATGTTAAATTTTTTTAAATGCATTACTGTGAAAGACACATTGCTGTTGATTCCCCACTAAATCCCCTCCTTTGCTTCAAACACACTCATCCCATCATCCTCGCCACTTTCTGCAGCAGCTCTGGAGTCCTCTTTCTTCCAAGTCTTTAGCTGCACTGTCCTGGATGCCTCAATGTCTTGGATTGATTGGAAATGTCTCCCTTTTTGGTCATTTTGACTTTGGGGAAGTCACCAGGTGCCAGATCTAGTGATTAAGATGGATAAGGACACAGCATCATGCTTTTATGAGCTGCCTTTCTGTAGGCTGGCACTTGGCAGCAGCAGTCACCTTACTTTTGGTCTCACCTCTTAAGGACCCTCAGGAAAGGGGACAGCAGAGCTGCTGCAGAAAGTGGCAAGGATGGTGGGACGAGTGTATGCACTCATGAAAGGGGTCTTCCAGAGCTGCTTCAGAAAGTGGCTAAGACAATGAGATAGATGTGTTCAAAAGAGAGTGGGAGGATTCTGAGAGGGATTCAGGGCAATGTGTATTTTGCTGTTGTGACTTTTTAATTTACACACTGACTGTAGAGTTTTAGTACACCTTATATATGTGCTCCAAAAAGTTCAGGACAGCACAAGGGATCCCAGAAAGAAGTCCGGGCCAAATGGCACTGATGCTGTGGCTGTGTTTATGGGCAGTTCAGAGACAAGTAAAGCCCATCTGGGTGGGCAAGGAGGACAGCAGTTACCGCTGGGGAGGTGACTGCGGGTGATCGGGCGGAGAAGGAGCTGGTTTGTGGGATACGAGTCCCTCGTGCTCCATCAGGGTAGAGGTTACCTGGCTGTGCCCACCTGAAGTTCCTCGAGATTTACATATATGCTTACTGCCCTTCCAAGTAGGGTCCTACTTAACTGCGACTGCCTGCCTTTGGAAAAATAAGTGAACTGAAATGAACACTTGAGAGATATAAGAAATAATAGCCGAGGATTTAGCTCAGGGATGCTGCATCTGCCAGCAAGTGCAAAGTCTTGAGTTTAATCCCCGGTGTTGGAAAAACAAAAATCCCATGCCATGAAGCTCTTGATCTCTTTACCAGGTACCCTTCTATCTGCACACAGCCAGCGCACTTCAGATGGATGTCAACACCTCTCCACGCTGCACAGAACGTATTATATTACATGCATTTATTCTGTGGAACGGCTTTGTACAACTTGATTCACTCAACGTGAGGGTTGTGTCGTTCACGCACCCTTCTTTACACTGCAGTAACGAGGTAGGAGATTGGCATAGGCTACCCGGACAAAGACGGGTGGACTGTGTCAGGAGTCATACAAACAAAGGGGACATGCACAGAACACAGGGCCCGGGATGATGCCAGGGCTCATGAGTGCTGCCCAGGAGCCAATGAGAATTCGGTGTCTTTGATCCCTCATTGGAACCGGCACTGTTTGCAGGACCAATCAGAAGATCTATTCTTCATCAGCATGTAGACACACAACCAATCAAAAGATGCCATTCCTGGTCCTTCACTTACATCTAGGGGAAACCAAGCGATTCCCGGCAGTTTAAATCTGGCACCTGGAGAGGACTGGATGGGACAACTGTTTTGATGCCTTAAGACAGGGGGAGCCAATCCAGGAATTCTAGACACAAATGACCCCTTTCCCTTATCTCAAAGGGCCACTGTGAGCCTGTTCACAAGCCTGCTCTCGCTCCCTTCTTTTCCACTTCCAATAAACGTATGCCCTCGCTGTCTTCTGGGTCTTGTCTGATTCTTTGTTCAGGACTCCAAGCACCTGCAGAGAAGCCACATGAGACCCTCCCTCCAGTGACAGAATAGTGCTGTGTTCATAAATACACTACCAGTCCTCTTTCTGCTGTGCAGGGCTTTTGGTCCCTCAAACAGGTCCCTCCTGTAAACAAAGCTGGAATAAACTTTGGTACGTGTTTTGTGGGTGAACAGAAGCAACCTTCTCCTCACTGCACAGCCTCACCTTGCCCTGTAGGTGAGCGGGCCAGGGTCCCCGTGAGCCCCGACTGTCCCCAAGCCTGGGTGTCAGGAAATTCTTACTCAACCCTCTTCAACCTCAGGGGTCAAAGTGGAATCTCACTGTGATTTCTGTACTCCTGAGTCACGGTGATTTGGAACGCGGTTGAAATGGAATCTCACCATGGTTATCATCTCTGCACTCCTGGTTTTGACCTCAGGGCACTTGTTTGCTGTACCTTTTCATCGTTCTGGCTCCCCTCCAAGCTATTTTCTGTGTGCTGAGCTTCAGAAGTAGAAGTCAGAGTACGTGGCTCTCTCATCTGAAATCTTGCAGTGGCTCCCCAGTGCAGTCCCCAGAATAATTCCCTCTTCCTCCTGGCCCGAGAGCCCCACGCTTCTCTCCCCATCCCTCTGGAAAGCACTGCATCAGCACACCGCCCCCCCACCACCACGCCCTCACTGCCACCAGCTTCCTTCTGTGCCTAGCTCTGCTCGTGGTAGATCCCCTGTCCTGGAATCTTCATACCTGGCTTGGCGGGTCAGAGTCCAGTCCCAGAGCCTGCTCAGACAGGCCCTGTAGCCCTACCTGATGGGAGTTTCACTGTTTTCCAACCTATCACCTTGATATTTCCCCTTCCCAGTACTTATGCTTCTCTGACCCCATCTCAGGACTGGCTCCACTGTCATATCCCCCACTTTGGCCAGCACACTCCCTGAAAGCAGAACACTGTCCACCTTCTTGACTCCTGGTCCCTCTGGACTGAGAGCAGTCTGGCCCATACTTGGTACCCAATAAATGTTTGTCAAAAGAACCAGTGACCAGGTAAGCCACTGAAAATACAAATTTTTAAGGCAGAGATTTTTCAATACTATGCCCAGCACAACACATTCGGTCATTTTGGCAAGTTATTCAACCTGTAGAAGATCGAGACATTTAGAGAAGAATGACTGCCACTACTTTTGAAACTTTTCAGTGAAATCGAAAGGGAAGAGATACATCCAAATTCATTCCTAGAAGCAAGTGTTAACTTTGATTCCAAAACCAGGGAAAGACCCAATCAAGAAAGAGAACTACATGGTCTTTATCTCAACTTGATAAAGGTTATCTATGAAAAACCAATATCCAATATCATACTAAATGGTCAAAAACTGAAAACCTTCACGCTAAAATCAGGAACAAGACAAGGATGCCCACTATCACCATTCCTACTCAATATAGTTCTGGAAACATTAGCCACAGAAACTAGAAAAGGGACAGAAATAAAAGCATTAAAGATAGAAAAGGAAGAAGTAAAACTGTCATTAGAAGACCCAAAAAACTCCACCAAAAGACTTCCAGACTTAATTGACAGAATCATCACAGTAGCTGGATACAAGATCAACATTCAAAAATCAATAGCCTTCTTGTATACAAATAACAGACCACTGAGAGAGAAATTAGAGAAAGAATCCCTTTCACAATAGCAACAAAAAAAATGAAATATCTAGGAACCATTCTAATGAAGGAAGCAAAAGACCTCTACATTGAGAACTACAACACTCTGAAAAAAAGAGATTGAACTATGAATACATACATATTGAGGATATACTCCTAAGTGAAATAAATAAGTCACACATGTGTAAATACAAAATAGTTTCTCTGGTGTGAAAAATTATAACAGTACATAAGATCCTAATGAGATAACTGACAATGTGAAATAGGAAGAAAAGGGCTAAAGATGTAGGGAAAGTGGGAAGAGTAGGGGAAAGGGAATAATGGAAAAGAAAAAATAGGAGAAAATGAAAAAATGGAAATAAAGTGTTTAGTGAGGGGAGAGGGGAAAGGGGAAAAAATGAGAACCATGACCTGTCATGTAAAGGTACAATAATGAATGTAACTGTACTGTATACATACTGTATACCTAAAATGTACCAATAAACTCAATGAGGAAAAAAAAAAAGAGATTGAAGAGGATATAAGAAAATAGAAAGACATCCCTTGTTCCTGGGTAGGAAGAACCAATATAGTGAAAATGGCATACTACCAAAACTGTTATACAGATTCAATCCAATCCCAATTGAAATCCCAACAGTATATTTCACTGAACTAGAGAAAACAATCCAAAAATTCATATGGAACCAAGAAAGACCTGGAATAGCAAAGTAATTCTAGGCAACAGAGACATGCCAGGGGGCATCACAATCCCCAACATGAAACGATACTACAAAGCCACTGTGATGAAAATAGCATGGTATTAAAAGAAACAGATCCAAGGATCAGTGGAATAGATTAGAAGATGCAGAAACAACTCCAGACATATTGAGCTATCTCATCTTTGACAAAGGAGCCAACCAGACTCACTGGAGGAAAGACAGCCTCTTTAATAAATGGTGTGGAAAAAACTGATTTCAACTTGTCAAAGATTAAAACTAGACCCCATCTTTCACCATGCACTGGATTAAAGATTTAAATATTAAAACAGAAACACTAAACTTCCTGGAAGATAAATTAGGTAGAACTCTTGAAGATATCAGCACAGGAAAAGACTTTATAAACAAATCCTCAGTAGCACAGGAACTAGCACAAAGAATCAATAACTGGGATCTCATCTTTTGTAAAAGCTTCTGCACTGCCAGAGAAATCACAAGGAGAGTAAGAGACAACCCACAATGTGGAAAAAAATTTTTACCAGCTGTACCTCAGACAAAGGTCTACTATCTAGACTATTTAAAGAACTCAAAAAATCAGACCCCCCCCAAATTTATAAACCCAATTCAAAAATGGGCATCTGAAATGAACAGACATTTCTCAGACAAAGAAGTAAAAGCAGCAAATAAACATAATAAAAAATGTTCAACATCACTGATCATTGGAGAGATGCAGATGAAAACAACACTGAGATTCCACCTCCCCCCAGAAAGAATGGCTGCTATGAAGAAATCAACCAATAACAAATGCTGGCGGGGCTGTGGAGAGAAAGGAACCCTTCTCCATTGTTGGTGGGAGTGCAGACTGGTGCAGCCACTATGGAAATCAATACGGAGATACCTCAAAGAAGCAGGATTAGAAGTCCCATTTGACCCAGCCATCCCTCTGCTGGGTATCTTCCCAAAAGAATTAAAAGAATCATACCACAGCAATATGTGCTCCCCAATGTTTACAGTGGCACAGTTTGTAATAGCTAAAACTTGGAAACAGCATAACTGCCCATCAACTGGAGAGTAGATAAGGAAGATTTTATTTATATATAAACTGAAGTACTACTCAGCCATAAAGAAAGAGAAACTAAAGACATTTATAGCTAAGTAGGTGCACATTGAGGACATGCTCTTAAGTGAAATTAATAGGACACACGTGTGTAAATACCAAATAGTTTCTCTGGTGTGATAAACTAAAAGTATAAATAAGAATCAAAATGTATAATTGATATTGTGTAATAGGAAAAAAGGTCTAAAGGTGTAGAAGAAGTGGGAAGGGTAGGGCAAAGCTAAGAAGGGAAAAGAAAAACTAAGAGAAATGGAAACAAAATCTCTGTAAATAGGGGATGGGGTGGTGAAGGGAGGGCAGGGAAATGGAGAAAAAATAAGAACCAAGATATAGCATGTAAAGGTATAGGATCCCAATGATGAATGTAACTGCACTGTATACCTAAAATGTACCGATAAAGAAAAAAGGAAGGAAAAAAAATCTATATTTCTTATGGGCAAATTAGAGATAACTTTTAATATCTACCTCCCCCAGTTACTGTTCCAGATACTGACATAATGCTGTAATATTCTCAACAACATGCCTGGTACTAGTAATTAATAACATACCAGGCGTAAGTGATCAATACATAGCAGATAGTCTTATCATAAGAATGACATAATAGCATCATTTGCCAATAAGCACAATTGTGTACTTGCATATCTATGCACGTGCATGCACTCACACACACACACTGACATGTTAGGGAGAAAAAAACCTGCTTGGAGGCATCTTTGTACCCACCTGTCCACAATCACAGGAGAAATGGCGGATCGTTCAGCTATTTCTGATGCCACAATGTAATTGCCCAAAGAGTAAAAAGCTCTTCTGATGATACTAGGCTCCTCATCGAAGATTTTCCTCCACTGGCCGATGCGAGAAGGGGGTGACCGCAGGAGCACCGCCCCAAGCTCCTCAGAAATGGACCGCGTCACTGTGGTCTTCCCTGTGGGTCCCACACAGAACACAGTGAGTCCTCGTCATCACCCCTAGTGCTCACCAAAGTTCACAGCTACTTTGAAAAAGCGGAGAATGCTTTCAACCTGTCGTTTGCGGGAGACGATGAAATGATAAGATTCTTTATAGATCCTTGCAGACCCAGCGGGACTTCGGATTCTCCCGTTTGGTGTTAAACATTTGGGAAGAAAACCACCTTGAGGATGATCTGCCCCAGCACCCTCTTCGCGAGCTTCTGAGTTCCCACTCTTTGCACTTTTTTTATTCTCTCATGCTGAAGTTTCCAAGACCACATTTCCAACCGTTTATTTCCTTTATTCTCTTCCTTGGGTTGTTGAGATGGACCCTAAGCATAATGACCATTTCTCAAGCCCTAACAGAAGCTATGCACTCAGCACCGTGCCTTTAATCCTCCCAGACCCCATGCAACAGTTATAATTTAATCAGCCCACCACTGAAGAAACTTGGCACCAGAAAAGGTAATGCATTTACCCAAGCTCACCCTGCTAACAGGCCTGGACCCACGTGCAATGTGGGACCTGGAATGGTTTTCACTCCCTCTATTCTGTCTCCTTGTGAATCCCGCGTGTGTGCACACATGGGCTGGTGTTAAATGTCTGCATCTTTTGTAATCCCAAAGAACTTAAATTATCTCCTAAATGAATGACCACTGAGATCCAATCACGCTGTTACAATTCTCTCTGTGGCTATAAACACAACTGGGCCTGGGCCACGGCATAACGCAGGTGAGGACAGCTGGAGAACTGAGCCCAGAGATGCTTCCTCTCTGCACCGATCCCTCCAGTGCAGCCACAAAAGCCAACTCCGCCATCCGCCTGGGCCTCAGTCCACCTGGTTGTGACACAAAGGGCCCCAAATGGAAACGGCCTCTCATGTGACTCCAGAGAGAACCCTGCCTCCTCAACAAGAAAAGGAGAAAGAAGCCTTCGTGCTCCGCAGGACAGGTCTTCTCATGCTCGTCTCCTGCTGGCCTGGGAGCAGTGCCACACCCTCTGGTGCGCTCTGATCTCAGTGCTGTGTCCTCACATCTCTTTCAAAGTTTCAAAGGCTCTTTCCCTTCGTGTTAGGGTTTAGATCTAAAATATCCCTTCAGAATCTCATGGGATGCTACACTCGTCAGTGGATTCATCCCCGTTTGAGCTCAGGGCTGAATGTGCTGTAGGAGGTGGGGCCTGGTTGGAGGAGGTCCCTAGAGTGTGACTTGGACAGGTGCCTTTTTGTCTTTCATCTCCTTTCTCTCTGCTTCCTGTCTGCCAGGAATTGAGCAGCTTCTCCACACCAGACCCTTGAACCGTGTTGTTTCCGCATTGGAGCTAGTCAGCCATGGGCTGAACCCACGGAAACCATGAGCCAAAATAAATTTCTCCATCTTTAAATTGTGGGCATCAGGTGTTTTGTCCCAGCTAAAGAAAAGAGACTAAGATGCTCTATTTCCTCATTCTTTTGTCTGAGAGAAGCCCTCTACACTGCCCATGCTTCCAGAACACACCATGCTGATGGATGGGCCTACACCACTTCTTCCACTTGGAACACCCCGCCTCTCACCCCATTCCTTCACCGTACACTCCCTGCCTGCATCCTGTGGAGGCCGGGCTTGGTCCCCATGCTGCGCCCCCACAGGCAGGGAGCCTCAGCCCTCACTCACCTCACCTTGACCACAGCAACGGGCCGCACTCATCCCTGCAGCCCAACACCTGCCTGGCACAGCACTGCTGCACAGTAGAGGCCCTGAGGGCAACCAAGTCGTCACTCTTACCAGTGGCATCCAGGCCTTCGATGACAATGACCGGGAACTTTCCTTTCTGCACCTGCTGTGGACACTGGTCAACCAAGCTGAGCACCTCTCGGGCTTCCGGAATAAAGGGGGTGCACTGAAACCAAAAGACCCCGGTCAGCACAAAACACCGGGGCAGAAGACATCTCCAACTCGCTCAGGGCTCACAAGGCCTCAGCTAAACAAAGCCCTTCGCAGTAACTCTTCCTCAGTGTGGAGTCAGAATCTTTCTTCACTGCTATTGTTTTATGAAAAAAAACTAAAATAAAATTTCATAGCAAAATAAGAGAACAGCAATCAATACACTGTGCTTTATCATCTTACTCAGAGTAACAGATGTATACAAAAATGACTCACCCAGAAGAAACACAGATAATGGTACAAAACTTTCTTTTTCAATGAACTAAGCAAAACCAGTGGTATAAATGAAATAAAATGGCATATATATTAAAATAGTTTTGAAACTACGGAGTAAGTAATTTGGGAAATTACTTGAACTTCTCCTGACTTCCTCTTTATCTATCACATATGCAGATGGATGAATTTGAGGTTTCTCGCATAAGGGAAACCACGCAACACCTGAGCTGTGCGTCGCACTTCTTTCCCTTACCATTACACTCTCAGGTGCACCCATTCACCTCTGAAGGCCTCCAGTCTCCCTCCCTTCACTTGATAACGAGTAGCTAAGGCTCAAAAGGGCTGCGGATATCTGGATCACACAGCCTGCCTCCCACCACAGACAGCTTTCCCTCCCGGAGGAAAGCAGGGCAGTGAAACACAGTTCACCATGAACCTCAGGCCCTCCCTCAGCAGGGCTTGTCACAGGCATGGGAAATGAACTACCTCCTGAGCTCTCTTAGTTACTTAGTTTTTTTTGCTTTATTTGTTAATTGATTCATGTATTGAAGTACTGGCAAATGAACCAAGGTACTGTGTGTGCACTGAGCTACTCCTCCCACCCACCCTTTCCTTATATTAAGACTAGGCCTCCTTAAGTCACTAAATTGCTCAGGCCGGGCTCGCAATGCAGTCCTCCTGCCTCAGCCTCCCGGAGTGCTCGGATTATAAGTGCAAACCAACACACCCAGCTGCGGGCTTCAGCCAAGGCAGTCTGCATATAGTCACATTTGCTCCTAACTGCTCAGGGAGCTGAGGACAGTGGCAAAGCTAGCAGCCCAGTATCTCCCTTGCTGCTCCTAACTTCATCCCATCCTCAGTGAGTCCTTCATCTCAGACCCATATTTACTCATGTGATGGTTCTGAGGCAGGCGTGGTGGTGCATGGGCGCAATCCCAGCACTCAGCAGGCTGAGGCAGGAGGACCGCCAGCAGTTCGAGGCCAGTCTGGGCTACACAGTGAGTTCAAGTCCAGCCTGAACCACACAGTGAGACCCTGTATCATGAGGCAACAAGGAGAGTCGCAGAAACTTGCTGAAAGGGGATAATTCCTGAATGCAAGGAATTGAACCAAACCCCAACCTTTGCTCTCTTACCCATTCTGCAGCTCTAGCTGCAGGCCACAGACCTTGCTAGGATCTGAAAAACCCTCTTGATTTCTTTTCCTGAGAACCTGCTATGAGTCACTGGCTTCCTTACCCATCAAGGCATCGCTGCAAAGCCAGTATTTTGCAGACAAAGGGAGGAAACAAGGACGAGGAGGCAGGCTGGAGTCTGAGGATTAAGTCCAAGCATCTGAAACCCTAACTCGTGCCCCATGAGCTCTGAGACCCTGTGGGCGGCCGCTGCCAAGGACAGCTCTTCCGGGCTGCGCTCCACTGTCGCGGGGCCTCCTCCCTCCTCTCCCCTGGCACTTAACGACAAGCTGGGCTCGTCTTGGTCTTAGGGCGCCCTCTGCAGCAGGCCGGAAGCCCTTCCCAGACAAGAAGGTCAGAGGACCAAGGTCTAATCCAGAGCCCAGCAGGTACGATGCTTTCACTTCCTGATCTGAGCGCAGGAATAGACAAACTGCCCCACACGAGTGTTTTTATATATATTTTCTCTAGTGCTGAGCGCTCACCCCAGGGCCTGTGCATTAAGCTACATCCCAGGCCTTTTTAAACTTTAAAGGTGGGGTGATCTTCAGTGTCTACATCGCCCAAACTGGGCTCCAACTGTGATGCTGCCTCAGCCTCCCAGGGCCCAAGGGTGCCAGCTCCCCCGGGCTGCCGGGTCCCTTTCTGGTCTGGTAAGGTGGTCCACGCACCGCGCTGAAGGTCAGAGCTCTTACCTCCTCCAAAACAGCCCGGGCGGCGTCCCGGTTCGGGAAGACGACGGAACCGAGCAGGTCGGGCACCACCGGGTGCA